CTCCCTAAATAAAATTGGCCCGTACATATTCTTCGTTTTTACTTGTGGGCTGACTTGTTAAAAAAAAAAAAAACATTTAAGCTTCTTGAAAAAGCGAATCCAATCCAATGCCGACTCTTAAATTAGTTTTAAATTTATTTTTTGAGAACAAACAGAAAACATAATTTGAAAATTTCAACTAGGATATTTGATTATTAGTAATTTTTTATAGTTAGATTTATTTATTTATTTATATTTATTTTAAAGAAAGAGTTAATATCCCTACTTGTGGAAATATTGGGTTGCTTTTTATATATTTGGTTATGTAATGCATATTAATGTAATATGTTGAATGCTAACTGTTATCCTACCTTTTTATATATTTGGTTATGTAATTAATATTAATGTGATGCGTTCCATGATAACTTTTATCTTACCATTGTAATGAAACTCTGATAAATGAAAGAATGTGAAGCTTTTGAATATCAATGCATGTCTTATTTAATGGGTTTAAAGTTTTTATTTTGAGGGCGTTACAATTAATGTAATATGTTGAATGCTAACTGTTATCCTACCTTTTTATATATTTGGTTATGTAATTAATATTAATGTGCTGCGTTCAGTGATAACTTTTATCGTACTGTTTTATTTTCATTAGGACATTTGGATAATATATTGTTTGTATTATGTTGTTCTATATCTCCAAAAAAAAAAACACATTTGTGGTGTTCCAAATTCAGTGTTGGGTTTGCTTTAAAGCCAAAAAAATTTCATATTTGGTGCATTCATGGGATTAATTATACTTAGCAAAGTAAAATAAAATTTAAAAATCTCAACTACAAATTAAAATAAGTTTATGTAATTTTCATCAATATTCTATTTATTTAATTTTTTAAAAATTTTAGTAAAAAAAATTAATAAAATATATAGCTCAGATTTAATATTCTAATATTTAGTAAGCAATTTAACAAGATAAAATAGTCTTTTGAGCATTTATCTTTCTCCATAATATCCCAAAGAAACATAAGATTAAATAGAATAGTTCAATTCAGACATTTAATCACATGACTAAACAAACATAGGATACAAATGCAGTTCGACCAAATAATCCAAGGATAATGTATTTCTGAACTAATAGTCCAGTAGATTATAATTTTTTTTATCCAGTCTATTCAAACAAATACACCCTTAGACTATGTTTAACAAAACTTAATTACAACATGAATAGAAAAATGCTAATTTGAATGTATTTTTTTTTTTTTTCAAATTCTAAACTATTATAATTAAAAGGTTTTAATCTACAACTTTCTAAAGTGACGATTCTCCCCATTTTTTAAAAATTTCTTAAGTCAATAATATAGTTTCATGTTACTAGAACAAAAAGGCTATTATGTAAATCTTTTACAAATATTTTTTTTAATTTTTAATATTATTATTGTACTTTTTAAGCTCAATAATCTAAAAACACTTAAAAATAAATTATTTATTTTTTGTTTCGCTACTTAAGCGTCAATCCCATGGGATTGTTTTCCCAGTCCCACGCGCCCAACAGGTGAGCTAGTCCGGCCACTGTAGTGGGTTGGTGGTCAGCCTGGAGTACTAATCCTCCCATGAATTTTCAAACCAAACGTTCCATAGGTGGACCCCACCTCATTCACAAGCCACTCCTACCACTCACGCGGACAAACAAACGGGCCATAAGTCCCACCAAACCCATGTTTGTTTGTACTACATGCTAAAGGATTATGAGTCCTATAAGACTACCAATTTTAGTTGGGGGTAGGATTAGCATACCTATGGAGGGGTAGGATTGTTAATCCAATCCCCTTAGATTGAAGAAAAATGTCTATTTTTCTCTCTATGTATCAAACACAATAAAATCTCATTTTTTATGCAATAAGGACTTTTACGTAATTTTATAAATTTAATTCTAACTAAGTAATAATTGCAACACTACTCCTATTTCACTGAGTGGAAACCAAGATCTTCCCTTAAGAAAAACTTGGTAGTCAAATGCTAGCCGCACATGTTACAATCCCATAGCTAGCAATGATAAAAGTTGGTCCGGAAATTTTCAATTATCTTGGCAATCAAATATATGAAGGAGATTCTAATGAAAAAGCTGATTTTCCATGCAGTTGTCATAGACGGTTGCTGTGAAGTAAAGTTTAGAATTTTTTTCATAATTCTATAAATCATAGGGTCTAAATTGGAGTTATAATGGATATTTAAGAATCACCCTTCACATGATCAATAGAAGAAAAGTTGGACACTTGTAAGTGGCAAAATCATGACTCAGTCATTGGGGGTCAAAAAGAAGACATCAGGACTAATTTAGTTTAGTCAAGTGAGTAGAAGCGAGTTTAAACAGCTTAAATAATTATTAAAACTAGTAATAGTTTAGTCGGATGAGTTAGTGAGTTTAAACAGCTAAAATAATTATTAAAACTAGTAAATCAATATTAGAGATTTTATAAGTTTGTAATTAGGCTCGGCTAAATTATATTAATATTTATTAATTAATTAATTACACTTGCCTAAGCTCTATTAATATACATTAATTAATTAGTTAAGTGACCGAGTTGAGCTTGAACAAGGCAATACTTGACTCAGTTCAGCTCGTTTGCAACCTAGGGGCCAAGTCTAGAGAAGTTAGATAAACATTCCTATACACATACACAATAACACAAGGCTTCAGCAAAATTTGCAGGCCAAGATTCCCTGAACCCCCTTCCTCCGCCCTGGTTGTATTTGTTTGTTATGTATCTAGTTATATACGAATGGTTATCCAATTTTGATAAACTCAAGATGAGATTTACCATTTTTTTATATTTATATAAAACTTTTCATTTTGTTATATTTATACAGATTGACTTTGATTTGTAATACTTGCATGCATAAAGAAGGGTTGTTTAAGGGACATCAGAGAGGATGTGCCCATAGTGGTTTTCAAATCATAGCACGTTTATAATGACCTCCTAAAAACGAGAAATCTATTGTGTAAATTGCAAGAAAGTTATGATATTTTGTGATAAAAATTATACTTGTTTGTAGTGTGTGTTATGACACATTGTGATAAAATTATAAATAGTAAATTTATAGAGTGTTTTGTTAGGAATGATAATATTATGGCATTTTGTGCTCTTCGTTAAATATGTAATTTTTGTTATGACATTTTATGTTCAAGAAAGTTGTGACTTTTGTGATGAAAAAGGTTATGATTTTTATGGTTTATGTTATGAAAGTTTGTAGAATTTTGTAAAAATGTTGTAAAGAGCAAAATTTTAAGAGTGCATATTGTAATCTCTCTCTCCCAAAAAATATATTTTGTTATTAATGATTAATCTAGCATATTATTATAATATTATAGAATATCACGTATTTATATTCTGAAATTATTGTGCAAATTCTTGAAGAAGTGTGTACTATATGTACCTTATAATTAAAGAAGAAAATGACATAATTTCATAATTTTTAAGTCATAACTATAAAAATAAATAAAAATTATAACAAACAATACATGAGGTATAACCAAACATCTCAAAATAATGCTATAATTAAATAAGAAAATGGCATAACTAAGGGTGCATGTGATAAGAAGTGTGTATGATAGAATTCTCCAAATTATTTAACTCCAATCGTTTTAAGTTAAATTGCATGAATTAATTAAAGGAGATTTTTTTAGGATCCCTGATATTAAGATTTTATAACATAAAGGACATCAAATATTTTTATAATGTCAAGGGTCCCTCAATATCGATCCAGAAAAAATTTGATCTAGAGAATTTCTATGGACTTCCTAGAGAATTTCTTCTCAGAGAAATTCTGGTCTAGATTCTAGTCTAGAGATTTTCTCTAGATTTCCAGAGAATTTCTCTTTTTTTTGCTAGAATTTCTCTAGGTTCAAACTAGAAATTTTTCTGCCTTCCCAATCACGATGTGCAATACACATATCGATTACCAAAATAAGCAACAACAACAACCAATATACATATACATATATATATATATATAGAGAGAGAGAGAGAGAGACTCACTAAAAGGAGAATTTCTCTGCGTTCAAACTAGAGAAATCCAGAGAAAATTGAAATTTTTCTGACTTTGTTCACAAATTTCTCTGGCATTGTTCACAGAGTATTGAAATTTCTCTAGCTTCATTCACAGAGAATCTCTCTGGCTTTGTTCAAAAAAATTTCGGTGTTTGTTTACAATTTTAAACCAGAGAAAATTGTTTTAACTAAATCAGAGAAATTTTAGCACAAATCATCACTCTCTCTCCTCCGATCACCAATCATTTCTCTTCTTACCAGAGAAATTCTCTGGACTGTATAGACAAATAAGAGAGTGATGGTTTCAATCCAACGCAATAAAAATCAGTAATAAGATACAGAGCAATGAAGAAATACCAAGTTATGATTGGTGATCAATAAGAACACTGTCTATAGTGCCAGGCTCAAGATCTATGAGGACAACACATGGAACAAATCTCTTTCAAGAAGCCTCATTGTAGTATACATTGACACGTTCCAGTTGCAAATATTAAGTTCCAACATACCTTCCAGTTGGATCTATCCCATGTTCATCACAAACAACTTCCCAAAATTTTGATCCAATCTGGTTTCCACACTGTCCAACTTGAGTGTGCAAGATTTTGCTCATTTTTTCTGATATTCGAAGATCGATCAATCGATCGATCGAGAAATGAATGACTCGATCGACTGAGAGTGGGTGAGACATTTTGGAGGTGAGATTGTTGAAGAAGAAATTGGTAGGTTCAGAGAATGATCTGCGATCTTCATACTTGGATTTGGAGATGGAGATGCTATCGTTAGAGTGAGATTGATCATCAGTGGTGGTTATTGGAAAATCACTCAAAGAGTGCCTCTGCTTTCTTTGTTTCTTCTTGTTTATCACCATGCATGTCTGTGTTATCATCCATTTTTAGAGAGAGAGAGAGAAAGAGAGAGAGAGAGAGTGTATGAGAAGAGAGATGAGAGAGAATAAGAGAGTGGGTGTTACATATGGGTGTGGGTAAGGGACCTTAGACTACAATTTTATTATTATTATTATTATTATAGATCTCTTCCATTACTAAAATTTAGAGAGGGATGTTAGACCAATTTTCCCTTAATTGAATGGGCTCAGTGGGCCATTTGAAAATTAAATAGAATTTTTTTTGAGTTCTATACACAAGTGTATCCTGATTTAGAAACCTATTTCAACAAATTTTAAAATAATTTTAACTTTTCTTTTTTTTTTTTTTTTTTTTTTTTTTTTGTGGTTGTAGGGAAGAGTTGCAGATTGAGGTGGTTTAACCAGTTAGATCCAAGGATAAACAAGAGGGCTTTCAGTGAGGAAGAAGAGGAAAGATTGTTGGCTGCACATAGAATGTATGGGAACAAGTGGGCTATGATAGCAAGGCTATTCCCAGGGAGGACTGACAATGCAGTGAAGAACCATTGGCATGTGATAATGGCAAGGAGGCACAGAGAGCAAAACACCGTGTATAGGAGGAGGAAGCCCTCTTCTTGTTCACCCAAGGGATTTGATGGTATGATAATGATTAATGGTTACAACAACCATCTCAACAATGCATGCAGTGAATCAACTATCTCAAGTGCCAACATTGATGAATCTGGATCAACTTGCACTGATCTCTCTCTCACTCCCTCCTCAACCATAGTGCGTCCTGGTTTTGGTTTTGTCTCTAGGCTTGTCAGTCCAGTTCTCCAGCACCACCAGCCCTATGGCCTCCAGATGGGTATGATTACTTTTTATTATTTAAAATTTTACGTACACAAAATCTTATCACAGAATTAAATATAACTCTCTATCGGCTATCGGGTGAAGTCTACACATTTGATGAACGAGGAGCGTTGTATTTGGTAATGTGACGTGATTCTGAATTCTTAGATTTTTTTTTCTTGGATTAATTACTCAAACATCTCTTTAATAATTGCGAATTATTATTTTATTCATAAATTTTAAAATTTTAAATTTAAATCTCAATTATAGAAGAATGGGCAAATGCTTTTTTCTAAAGAGAAATGTTAGGGATGATGAAATTTTTTTCATAAAAATGATCATGAAAGTTTTATGATTTTTAGATTATCTTGATTGGTGTGGTATTTTATTTTAAGTGTAATTCAAAGGTTACAAATCTTTCACGATCATTTTTATAAAAGACTTTTTTATGATACCTAACATTGTCTTTTTCTAAAAAGGGCGTGAAATATGAAAAAATTATTAAAGGCTCTTGGAATATTACTTCATTTTATTTACGGGTGTGGCCTATTATTAAGGGGCATTTTGGGAAGATATTTAAAAGTTAGGCCAATTTACTAATATTTTTTTTAATTTTTAATATTATTATTGTACTTTTTAAGCTCAATAATCTAAAAACACTTAAAAATAAATATTTTAGGCCAAGTTTGGCATATAGCCAAAAAGCTAAAAAGCAAAAAAGTTACTCAAAAAGTTAAAAAGTTAACACTATTCATCAAAAGTCAACAATTACGGCTACACAACTCCCAATTCGAATTTTACCCTACAAATCAATTTTTATAATTTTTTATTACACATTTTTCCATAAAAAGTCAAAAAGTTAACCCAAACATCCATATTTTCAACCTCAATTTTTTAGTCCAAAAAGACAAAAAGTGCACTTATTTAGGACACGCTATTTTTTATTTTGTTACTTAAGCATCAATCCCATGGGATTGTTTTCCCAGTCCCACGCTCCCAACAGGTGAGCTAGTCCGGCTATTGTAGTGGGTTGGTGGTCAGCTTGGAGTACTAATCCTCCCATGAATTTTCAAACCAAACGTTCCATAGGTGAATCCCACCTCATTCACAAGCCACTCCTACCACTCACGCGGACAAACAAATGGGCCATGAGTCCCACCAAACCCATGTTTGATTGTACTACATGCTAAAGGATTATGAGTCCTATAAGACTACCAATTTTAGTTGGGGGTAGGATTAGCATATCTATGGAGGGGTAGGATTGTTAATCCAATCCCCTTAGATTGAAGCAAAATGTCTATTTTTCTCTCTATGTATCAAACACAATAAAATCTCATTTTTTATGCAATAAGGACTTTTACGTAATTTTATAAATTTAATTCTAACTAAGTAATAATTGCAACACTACTCCTATTTCACTAAGTGGAAACCAAGATCTTCCCTTCAGAAGAACTTGGTAGTCAAATGCTAGCCGCACATGTTACAATCCCATAGCTAGCAATGATAAAAGTTGGTTCGGAAATTTTCAATTATCTTGGCAGTCAAATATATGACGGAGATTCTAATGAAAAAGCTGATTTGCCATGCAGTTGTCATAGACGGTTGCTGTGAAGTAAAGTTTAGAATTTTTTTCATAATTCTATAAATCATAGGGTCTAAATTGGAGTTATAATGGATATTTAAGAATCACCCTTCACATGGTCAATAAAAGAAAAGTTGGACACTTGTAAGTGGCAAAATCAGGACTCAGTCATTGGGGGTCAAAAAGAAGACATCAGGACTAATTTAGTTTAGTCAAGTGAGTAGAAGCCGCCTAAATAATTATTAAAACTAGTAATAGTTTAGTCGGATGAGTTAGTGAGTTTAAACAGCTAAAATAATTATTAAAACTAGTAAATCAATTTAGAGATTTTATAAGTTTGTAATTAGGCTCGGCTCAATTATATTAATATTTATAAATTAATTAATTACACTTGCCTAAGCTCTATTAATATACATTAATTAATTAGTTAAGTGACCGAGTTGAGCTTGAACAAGGCAATACTTGACTCAGTTCAGCTCGTTTGCAACCTAGGGGCCAAGTCTAGAGAAGTTAGATAAACATTCCTATACACATACACAATAACACAAGGCTTCAGCAAAATTTGCAAGCCAAGATTCCCTGAACCCCCTCCCTCCGCCCTGGTTGTATTTGTTTGTTATGTATCTAGTTATATACGAATGGTTATCCAATTTTGATAAACTCAAGATGAGATTTACCATTTTTTTATATTTATATAAAACTTTTCATTTTGTTATATTTATATAGATTGACTTTGATTTGTAATATTTGCATGCATAAAGAAGGGTTGTTTAAGGGGCATCGTAGAGGATGTGCCCATAGTAGTTTTTCAAATCATATCACGTTTATAATGACCTTCCAAAAACGAAAATCTATTGTGTAAACTGTAAGGACGTTATGATATTTTGTGATAAAAATTATATTTGTTTGTCTAAGATGCATGCCATATTCAACCAAAAAGAGATGCACACAGGTCTCGGATTTGGTTATTTTAATTAGTTATTTAGATATTTTATGAGATAAAAAATTTTATATTTGAGATGATTTGTGAATTTTTTTTATAATTGAATAGATGATTGTGAGAAAAAATAATTAATTAATGTATAAAATATGATATTTTATCTTATTAATTAATTTAATATTTTTTATTTTTATTAACTATTTTAATAAATAAGTAAAAAAAACTCATGCCAGACTATCGAGGGGTGTGTACCGTACGATTTGAGGAGTGTGTACTATATGTACCTTATAATTAAAGAAGAAAATGACATAATTTCATAATTTTTAAGTCATAACTATAAAAATAAATAAAAGTTATAACAAACAATACATGAGGTATAACCAAACATCTCAAAATAATGCTATAATTAAATAAGAAAATGGCGTAACTAAGGGTGCATGTGATAAGAAGTGTGTATGATAGAATTCTCCAAATTATTTAACTCCAATCGTTTTAAATTAAATTGCATGAATTAATTGAAGGAGATTTTTTTAGGATCCCTGATATTAAGATTTTATAGCATAAAGGATATCAAATATTTTTATAATATCAAGGGTCCCTCAATATCGATCTAGAAAAAATTTGATCTAGAGAATTTCTATGGACTTCCCAGAGAATTTCTCTCCAAAGAAATTATGGAAATTTATATGGACTTCCCAGAGAATTTCTTCCCAGAGAAATTCTGGTCTAGATTCTAGTCTAGAAATTTTCTCTAAATTTCCAGAGAATTTCTCTTGTTTTTGCTAGAATTTCTCTCGGTTCAAACCAGAAATTTTTCTGCCTTCCCAATCACGATGTGCAATACACATATCGATTACCAAAATAAGTAACAACAACAACCAATATACATATAAATATATATATATATAGAGAGAGAGAGAGAGACTCACTAAAAAGAGAATTTCTCTGGGTTCAGACTAGAGAAATCCAGAGAAAATTGAAATTTTTCTAACTTTGTTCACAAATTTCTCTGGCATTGTTCACAGAGTATTGAAATTTCTCTAGCTTTATTCACAGAGAATTTCTCTGGCTTTGTTCAAAAAAAATTTGATGTTGGTTTACAATTTTAAACCAGAGAAAATTGTTTTAACTAAATCAGAGAAATTTTAGCACAAATCATCACTCTTTCTCCTCCGATCACCAATCATTTCTCTTCTTACCTAAGAAATTCTCTGGTCTGTATAGACAAATAAGAGAGTGATGATTTCAATCCAACGCAATAAAAATCAGTAATAAGATACAGAGAGATGAAGAAATACCAAGTTATGATTGGTGATCAGTGAGAACACTGTCTATAGTGCCAGGCTCAAGATCTATGAGGACAACACATGGAACAAATCTCTTACAAGAAGCCTCATTGTAGTATACATTGACACGTTCCAATTGCAAATATTAAGTTCCAACATACCTTCCGGTTGGATCTATCCCATGTTCATCACAAACAACTTCCCAAAATTTTGATCCAATTTGGTTTCCACACTGTCCAACTTGAGTGTGCAAGATTTTTCTCATTTTTTCTGAGATTTGAAGATTGATCAATCGATTGATCGAGAAATGAATGACTCGATCGACTGAGAGTGGGTGAGACATTTTGGAGGTGAGATTGTTGAAGAAGAAATTGGTAGGTTCAGAGAATGATCTGCGATCTTCATACTTGGATTTGGAGATGTAGATGCTATCGTTAGAGTGAGATCGATCATCAGTGGTGGTTATTGGAAATCCACTCAAAGAGTGCCTCTGCTTCCTTTGTTTCTTCTTGTTTATCACCATGCATGTCTGTGTTATCATCCATTTTTAGAGAGAGAGAGAGAGAGAGTGTGTGTGTGTGTGTGTGTGTGTGAAGAAGAAATTGGTAGGTTCAGAGAATGATCTGCGATCTTCATACTTGGATTTGGAGATGGAGATGCTATCGTTAGAGTGAGATCGATCATCAGTGGTGGTTATTGGAAATCCACTCAAAGAGTGCCTCTGCTTCCTTTGTTTCTTCTTGTTTATCACCATGCATGTCTGTGTTATCATCCATTTTTAGAGAGAGAGAGAGAGAGAGAGAGAGAGTGAGTGTGTGTGTGTGTGTGTGTATGAGAAGAGAGATGAGAGAGAATAAGAGAGTGGGTGTTACATATGGGTGTGGGTAAGGGACCTTAGACTACAATTTTATTATTATTATTATTATTATAGATCTCTTCCATTACTAAAATTTAGAGAGGGATGTTAGACCAATTTTCCCTTAATTGAATGGGCTCAGTGGGCCATTTGAAAATTAAATAGAATTTTTTTTGAGTTCTATACACAAGTGTATCCTGATTTAGAAACCTATTTCAACAAATTTTAAAATAATTTTACATCTCAGAATTTTGTGGTATTTTTAAATGAAATTAATACATGGGCAAAGTATGCTTGTAAAAATTTTAAATCAAAATTCTCTTATGGTGCAAATCCATGTTCGAAAGGTTTTATTGCTTAAATTAGGTTGCTTCTATTTTATTCAAACAAATAGCATTTTAGAAATGTTTTGGTAAGTTTCCTATTTTTGGAACGTTTTTATTTTTGATAAATTTTCAAATTTAGAAAAAAAATAAAATAAAAAATGATTTTAAGAATAAAAAGAGAATCAATATGGAAGCAATCTAATAAAAGAAGT